ATTGTACCAAAAGAATAGCCATTATATTCTGATTCTGTGCACTAAATTTCATTTTAGTGTATTTTATCCTAAAAATACTGGTTTGATAAACATTTGCGCAAATACTGTTCAACATAAAAAATTGCAACTAGTATCTTTTTATTCTACAGGGCCTCTGCTTTCAGAAAATATATAATTGTTTGGGGTCCAAAGCTGTTTTGTACCCAAAAATTCAGATTTTATCATGTGTGTGCAAATGTAAGAAATTGCTCCGGACAGCAAGTGGTAATGAGTGTGTGATTTGTGTGTTATGCCGAAGGCGGTGATGATGCTGAACCTTTTTTAAACCCAAGCGCCCGAACTGCAACTCAATACTTAAGTTATTTTCAGTGTTGGCACTTTGAGATAAATACATTGAGGAGCAGGGAGGGAGATGCAGCCCCAACCAGCCCACCTGTGACCCCTGCAGAGCCCACCATAGAGAGTCTCAAATGGGCTGTGCAGCATGTATGGTGTGCTCTGCAGGGTCACTTTCAGGTGGGCTGTGTGGCGTCTCAGGTGGGTCCTGTGTCCAGCGCATAACGAAGCCTAGAGTCCGGCTCGTAACTAAGCCCAGAGACCGGCACGCAACTAAGCCCAGAGTCCGGCGAGCAACTAACAGTGTGATTGGCTCAGAGTGTTTCTGTTTGTTAAGGCTAAGTTAGCATCTAAGCCTGAGCACACAATGAACTTTGTGGGACTGTGCTAGCTGTAAAAAGCACAGATTTCATATTGCATCAGCTAAACATTCAGATTGATGATATCAAGTTCTACACAGATACAAATACAACCAGACTAAATGTTTCTATGTCTATGTCAGCAATCGTGTAGAAAGGATCAGGAAATCCTCCAAGCCTGAACAATGGCATGTTCAATCAGAAATTAATCCTGCAGATCATGGTGCCAGGCCAGTGTCTGCAAGTGTCTTCTTAAATTCTTCTTGGTTAACAGGTCCTGAATTCTTGCTGGAACATACAGAAGAAACTACAGCTGATGTCTTCTGTCTTATAGATCCTGACAACAACCCAGAGATTCATCCTGAAGTCAAAACCCTTGTCACCAGATCCAAGCAAAGATTCATCCTGGGCTGTCAACGCTTTTAACGTTTCTCCAAGTGGACAAGACTTGTACGCACTATTGCAAGGTTAGTCCATATTACACACTGCTCTCACAAGAAGCCCAAAGATGCACACTGTCAAGACTGGCACATATGACAAAAACCTCTTTCTGCAAAAGACATTGCTCAAAGCAAACTGATCATAATACACAATGTACAACAGAACATCTCTAGCACAGAAATGAAATGTATATGTGAGTTTAGAGCCATCCTTACACCATCGACTCTTCTTGCCCAGAAGCTTGGAGCTATTTCACCTGGACACTTTACGGTTGGAATCACATGAGTGCCTGGAGTCTTCAGCTACTAACGTTGCACCATTCACACCTAAGAATGGACTTGTTTAAAGTGCATTTAGCCAACCAAAGAGATTATACTATTTTCACAGCTAAAGAACTTTACAAGTTGCCACCCATGGAGAAGTGACCTTAAAAAACTGTTCAGCTATCAAGTCTGCTATGCTGATGGCAATCACAGACTTTATCTGATGTTTGGACTTGTGATACGTTCCATATGTCCTCTCTTTCTTTATTTTTCAGGTCCAGAGGACAAGTCATAAAGTCACATTTATGTGTTGCAGTTATTGTTGTTGCATATATATGCATGTTCTTACTTTTGTCTTTCAGGTCTTCAAGACATTTACTGCAAATTGCATTTCATGTATTTGCACTTCCATAACTACTGTTATATAGTATAGTGGTATTTTACAATACCAGACGGGGAGTGTGCTGTTACAGCTATTCTTTGAAAATGTGATACAATGCATAGTCATGGTTAATATTCATATTACTGTGAATTGAGTAGTCATATAGTTAGTTTTTCATAAGCCATTACATATTATAAAGTAGTATAGTTGGTTTATATACAGCTATTTTGTGGTCATTTTGTTTAGTGTACCACCGTTTCTGTGTTCCCTCCCTTTTTATGGTGTATTTCCTCTGTCTTCTGTATATGAATCTTTTCTGGCATCATGGCCACATGTCCTCTTGGCCACATGTTCACATGCTCACATGGAGGAAAGCCTTATCTTTTGACCCGCAAATACCATCATTTCAATCATCTGCTACATCCTGTTGCCTGTCAGAAACCTACTGCATTCAATAAAGATCTTCGTAGATGAAAAAGTATTTGGCGAGTTCAGCTATCTGATGAAGATTGTCTGCGGTGACTGTATCCAGGGCCGGTGCTAGGATTCTTGCCTACACAGGCAAGGTGCATTTTTGCGCCCCCCCCCTCCCCTCCCCCCTGTAAAAACAGGGCATTTTGACAAGTACAAGTCAATTTAGCTGGCCGTCGACTGCCTGAGGTGCCGCTCGTGTCGGGATCCTCTGGCAGTCGCCGGCCAGCTAAATTAGGACCCCACCTGGAGCTCCTCCCACTGGACCAGCGCTGACTCGCCTCTCCTCTCCCGCACCGAAGGTAAGTGAAAAACAACAAAAAAACATAGCGCAAACATCGGGGCATTTTGACAAGTACAAGTACTTGTCAAAATGCCCTGTTTTTTCCGCCCTCACCCTGCAGCGCCCTCAGGCGGCTGCTTGACTTGCCTTGCGGTAGCGCCGGGCCTGATTGTATCTGCTTATACAGGCCAGGCATAGAGGTCTTAGGAAGGGATAAATCACTAATTCAACATTTGGAGTCAGAATAGCGGGGTTACATGTCTAGCGATTGCTCTGGCGCTGTCACATAAGGGCAGCCCTTTGTAAGTTCTGTGTAAGTAAGTTCCAGTGTGGCTTGGAGCTTACATTGAGCTGTCTTTCTTCAGTTCCAGTAGCTGAACATAGGGGAAGGGGAGCAAAGGAAAGGTAAGTGTGTGCTGCTGGGGAAAGGGGCAATAACATTCACATTCACTTCAAATATATTACCATCTAATGTGCTGCTTTATGCCTGATCACCTATTGAAAATAATAACCATAATAGCATGCATCACTGGTTGTTGGCAATAAAGTGGAAGATATTACTTTATAGTAGGAATATGTAGAAGGCCTCATTTACATGCACAGCAGTAAGTATGCATGTCTGTGCAGAGACTTGCATTCGGGAGGGACAGCTGGTGCTGGTCAACTGAATGACAGGGCAGCTACATGAATCAGCTGTCCCTCCCAGCTGCATGTCTCCTCACTGACATGCATGCTGTATGGCTGTGCACATCCATGTAAACGAGGCCTTAGAAAGGAGAAAATGTTTGCGATACCCTTGTATTGAATTTGCAGTAAATTATATTGTTTATAATAATAACGCAGACAAATTTCTTTTTTATCATAATACTTTGTATAATACAATTTTTATTATGTAAAAGTCCATTTTTATTATTAAGTAAGTGTTACAACAAAATTAAAGCCAGAACAACATATGACAGTCAAGAGTTACTATACATGTATTAAATAGTTAAGGGCAAGTAGATTAACCATGTGACCAAAATCCTATTAGAGCAGGGGTGGGCAACTCCAGCCCTCCAGCTGTTGTGGAAGTTCCATGAGGCATTGCAAAACTGACAGTTACAGGCATGACTCCCAGTCAGGGGGCCAGAGTTGCCCACCCCTGCTCGAATAGGATTTTGGTCACACAGTGGTTGCTATTGGATCTATTAAGTAGACGCTGTCACCTTGCCCATGCAGGCACAAGTGATAGTGTCTCGGCAAAGGAATCCCTCTAACCTCCTTATAATCACATTGCCTGCGCTCCCTTGCTGTTCCATACTTTATCACAGCCAACACTAAAATCACCAGTATTGGCAACTAGTCAAAGTGGTTGTGACGGTGATCAGGCCTAAGGGCCCTGTCACACCATGTCCGGACCAGATCTGTACGCGTTTCTGCAAATGTGGTGCTGTGATGCATTCCAGTGCGGTTTTTTTAGGGGGTAATGTTATTATGCAAATTAATCTCTTCCTGCTCCATGCCATAGCTTCTGTTGAGTTCCGGTGGGATGCGTTTGTGACGCGTTTGTGGCGTGTTCCAGTGCAGGAAAAATGTGACATGCAGCATTTTTTTTTCCTGCACTGGACAAGACTGGACTGGTGTGAACAGAGCCCAAAAATCACATACAAATGCATTTAGATGCATTTTTGGTGCGGAACAAAAATGTAACGAACCGCATCTGATCCGGACATGGTGTGAATGGGCCCTCACAATTGGCTGCTAGACCCAAGCACTGTCACTGAGGAGAGGGCCAAGTGCTCTCCCATACCCAAAAGCTCTGAGTATTATTATTAGCTGTGATAGAGAAAGGAGCAGCGGGTGAAAGTTGGGTAAGTAAATATAAGTGGGTCAGGAGGGCCTTTGCAGACAAACTGTTACCTTGACCCACATGGGCAACGTGACAATGTCCCTTTAAAACATTTATTAACTGGCCAGGCTCAGCGATTGAGTGGTCATTCCTTTGATCCAATTTTAGAAAGGAGAAATAGTATCTGATTAGGTGAGGGCAATAGGAAGCAAAACTCTCCATTCGTATGAAATGAATCCAAAAAGGATTTTTTGCACATCTTATGTGATTCCCAAATGATAAAAGCAGTCTAAATTTACAAGATTAACACCAGTACCCATTTCTAGTTAACATTACTAGATGTATGCAGACTCAATGCAAAGTGTAGTATGCCATAGCAAGCTTTACATTTACAGTATTCAGTGCAATAATGACGTCTTTTGGCTTCATGACATCAGTATATCCTCATATACTGAAATAAACAATGTTATATTATGATAATGTGGCATACAAAGCAGCACAAGCTTCTGAATACTCTTCGCTATCTGGGTCCAGCAGATGGGCCTTTTCATAGTTCTTCAGTGCTGTGACTGTCTTTCTTGCTGGTTGATAAACCCAAGCAAACCATATCCAGTGGCATCCATTGGATTTTGGGATATCATGGTTTTTGCAAGTTTTTCAGTGCTCCAATTGCAAATCCTCTGAATATTGTTTGACTTTGTATCTCTATCGCTTCCTTATAATGCTTTACTGCTTCAGACTTCGACTTTCTAGAATTAATTAAATATTGTGCCCAGTTGTGATGGAGCTCTTGTTTCTGTTCACAGCTGAGATTTTTCATTGTCAGAGTTTTCCCAAATTCTTCTTCGGCTTTTTGGTATTCATTTGCTTCTATATATATATCAACCAATAGAATGTGAGCTGCCACAAATGACCTATTTAACTCAATAGATCTTTCAGAGTGAAATATGGCATTTGAAATGGCTTCATCATTTGGCCGACCTTGTAATCCTCTGTGCTTATTGATCAATGTTTTGTAACACTTACCAAGCTGATAATGATTAGCACTGGAATTAGGAGTTAAACTATCTGCCTTCTTCAACAATTCAATAGCTTTTACCATATTTTCTTTCCTTTGGTAAAACATTGCCACATATCGAAGGACATATGGGTTTTCAGGTTGTTCTTGTAGAGCTTGTTCTATTAACACAGTTGCTTGTTTATGGTTTTTCAGATAATTATATTTCAAAGCAAGGAGAACCTTCACCAATGTATCACTGGGATTTAATTGAACAGCTCGTTCCAAGAGTGGAAGAGATTTGTTAGCTGGTATTGTGAGGAAAGCCAAACCTTCCGTTCTATACACAGCGATGGCATAGCCTGAATTCAATTCCGGATCTTCTGGGTTGAGATTCAGAGCTTTTTCAAAGCACTCAGCAGCACACTGATAATATTTTATCTTGTTCAGCATATATGTCTAACAGAAGTGTATTTTGCATTGCAGGAGACTCATATTTCTGTAAAATGGTCTGCACCTTTTCAGCATAGGTGAAACCCTTGTCAACCTGGTTCTGGTGGTAATAAACCCAGGCAAAGTTACCATACATTACAACTCTCTTCACATCTGTGTCTTCAGATGTGCTGGATGCTGGGATTTCTGCTTCTGCTTTTTGCAGCTGGAGCAAGGCTTCATCATGGTCTCCTTTAAGATGCTTTAGGTAAGCCAGGATGTTGTACTTCCTGTGATTGTATGCATTTGGCAAAAATACAATCTGGTAATTTAGCCGTTCTTCCACATTATCGATGTCTACATCTTCTCCACACAGGTTCCAAGTAAAATGACATTGTAGTTCCAGTAGACGATCCTTCAAGGAATTCTTAGAAATGTCACTGAAAAATTAGACATGGAGATAACAATGTATTACAATAGTGATAGAAGAACTTGCTTGGGTCTGATTCGCATTTGTGAACTTTAATAAAAACTCAATTAAAGTCAATCTTGAGGCAAATTTGGAAAATCAATGTCTCAACAATTCTCTCCATTAATAATTCTCTTGCTAATAGGCAAGGGATTGCCAAACGAAGGGCACAGGGAGCTGGGCTGTAATGAGATACATGTACCAGAGCAAACAAAAAAAATTACAAATTTAGTTTGGCTGGGAGCAGTGATTTTAATAATGCTTTAAGGGCAACATTAAAATATAGATTTTTTTTAAAAAGCTGTTAAAATTGCCAGCAAATGCATTCATTTGTAAACAAACAGATGTGGATTCCCTTCATTTATAGCAGACCATTATCCTAAATGAGGGTCAGATATAGAAGTTAACCACTTCCGGGCCGCAATACGCCTATAGCCGTTTTCTTGGTATTGTTTTTAACAGCCACTGATAGCTGTTGATGTACAAGCAATCCAGCATCTATACAGCCACTCCCGGTGCCCTCCCCTCCCCCCCCCGCCGCGGCTGCCGTTGGCTTCCCCGGGCACCGCTGTCCCCGTGCTGTGCCTGGGAGCATGTGGTTGGTCTCCTCGCAACGATCGGAGAGAGAGTCAGCGGCTTCCAGCCCATGATCTCTCATCCGATCACTGGACCCGGAAGTGATGTGTATTGCATCACTTCCGGTGTCACTCGTTACAGTCTCAGTCTCTTAGAGCCAGGAGAAGAAGATGGGGAAGAAGATCTCTGCTTCCTCACCTTCTTTGGGATCCCTAGGTGACATTAGGGGTTTGAAAGAACCCAGATGTCTCCATAAAGAGGGCCTGTCATACCCTATCTGCTATTACATAGGGAGCTTGTTAGCCCCCTATGTGATAGCAATAAGGTTAGTGTAAAAAAAAGTGTTTAAAAATTATAAAAAGGAAAGTAACATATAAGAAAAATAAAAAAAGCAAAAATAATTTTTTAAAGTCCCCCGCCCCCCACGTGCACGCACATACACACACAAACAAGCGTCGGTGCGCCTACGTGCGAAAACGACAATTGCGCTACACATGATACATATCGGTGTGAATGTCAGAGGGAGAGCAATAATGCTAGTGCTGTCAATTACTGTCACCACTAAACTGATGAGCGGTAAAAGCGTTTAAAATGTTCCCTATGTGAAATTTTGGGTATTGCCTATGCAATTTTAAGGTTTGACATATTTTGTACCTATTTACCCGAGGTGATCCCGTCTTTCATATTTTACCAAAAAATTGGGTATTTTATTATGTTTCTGTGCACTAAATTTAGCTTATTTTATCATAAAAATACTAGTTTGATAAACAATTGCGCAAATACCGTGCGACATAAAAAAAATGCAACTAGCATTTTTTTATTCTACAGGACCTCTGATTTCAGAACATATATCATTGTTTGGGGGTTTGAAACTGTTTTCTAGCCAAAAATGTATATTTTATCATGTGTGCGCAAATAGTAAGAAAATGCTCCGGACAGCAAGTGGTTAAGGGTGGATCCCCTCCCCCCAAAAAACATATGGTGGTCCCCCCTTTAGTTCTGGTATGAATTTGAAGTGGGACCTCACACAAAATAAATGACTACTAGAAGCTACATGTAGAGTCCTATGTATAATTCTGCTCCAAAGAAACAGCTAATAAGGTAAGAAATATTTTTTTATAAAAGTTATTTTTTTAGTACCCTGTGTTATTGGGAACAGGTAACAAACATACAGTGGGGTTCCTCACATTTTACTACAAAAGTGGATACTTTAATTTGCACAGTTACATAGTTACATAGTTAGTCATGTTGAAAAAAGACACAAGTCCAAGAAGTTCAACCTATAGAAATAAGAGAAAATAAAAAAAGAAGAAAAACCTAAAACAGAACGCTACGCCCACAATTACCCACTGTTGATCCAGAGGAAGGGAAAAAAAACCCTATAAAGCATGGTTCAATTTGCTCCAACAGGGGAAAAAAAATCCTTCCTGATCCAATGAAGCAATCGGATATTCCCTGGATCGACAATCTCTGATGCTTAATATACCTAAAAGAAGCCAATATCCAGTAATATTCTGTGCATTTAGGAAAACATCCAGATTTAAAACCGTTAACTGAGCTGACTAGAACTATCTCCTGGGGGAGTCTATTCCACATTTTCACAGCTCTAACTGTGAAGAATCCTTTCCATATGCAAAGGTTAAACCTCTTTTCCTCCAGACGCAAAGAGTGCCCCCTTGTCCTTTGCAGTGACCTTAAAGTGAATAATTTGGCACCAAGCTCACTATATGGACCATTTATGTATTTATACATGATGATCATGTCCCCCCTTAATCGCCTCTTCTCCAGAGAAAACATATTCAGGTCAGTTAATATTTCCTCATAGCTAAGCTCCTCCATGCCTCTTATGAGTTTTGTCGCCCTTCGCTGCACTTTCTCCAGTTCCACAACATCCTTTCTGTGAACTGGTGCCCAAAACTGAACTGCATATTCCAGATGAGGTCTTACTAATGCTGTGTACAGGGGCAGGATGATGTCTCTGTCTCTGGAGTCTATACCCCGTATAATACAAGAAAGTATTTTGCTTGCTTTAGAAACTGCAGCTTGACATTGCATGCTATTATTCAGTCTATGGTCTACCAGAACACCAAAATCTTTCTCCATCATTGACTCCCCCAAACATACTCCCCCTAGAGTGCATGACACATGCATGTTTTTAGTCCCCAAGTGCATAACGTTGCATTTCTCAACATTAAACCTCATTTGCCAAATAGATGCCCAATCACACAGAGTATTCAGATCTGCTTGTAGTTGGAGACATCGTGTAAGGAGTGTATTCCACTACATAACTTGGTGTCATCTGCAAACACAGAAATAGTACTTTTAATCCCCAATTCTAGTGTAAGGGGCCCAACACTGAACCTTGGGGGACACCACTAACAACCTCAGATTACCACTCTCTGAATGCGGTCTTTGAGACTGTTTTCTATCCAATTACAGATAGAATACTCTATACCTACTGACCTTAACTTACACATTAACAGCATGTGGGGAACTGCGTCAAACGCTTTTGCAAAGTCCAAGTATACTATATCCACAGCCATTCCTCTGTCCAATTTATTACTCACTTCCTCATAAAAAGAAAGTCGATTTGTTTGACAACTTCTCTCTTTTGTGAATCCGTGCTGACTATCGCTTATGAAATAATTTTCAAGCAAAAACAATTGCATGTGATTCTTGATCAAGCTTTCAAGTATCTTCCCAACTATTGAAGTTAAGCTTAAAGGGCTGTAATGACTTGCTAAAGACTTTGATCCCTTTTTAAATATAGGCACCACATTGGCCTTGCGCCAATCCATCGGTATCAAGCCAGTCAGAGTGTCTAAAAATGAGATACAATGGCTTTGAAAATATAAAGCTCAATTCTTTGAGGACACGTGGGTGTAAGCCATCTGGACCAGGTGCTTTGTTCACCTTAATTTTGTCTTACTGTTTCTGGACCATATCAATAGTCTGCCATTGTGGTTCATTAGAGGCTATGGCACTGCTATCCCCATTATGGACTTGAGTTACATCCTGTTACTTGCTGTGCACAGAGCTGAAGAAAGTATTTAATAGACTTGCCTTCTCTTTGTCCCCAGTTACCAACTCTGAGACACCTCTACTCCAAGACGCGAATGGCATTCAGGAGCTCACGAATAGCATTCGGGAGCCCCCGGATGCCATTCGGAAAGACTTTGCGTGTGTTATATAGGTGGAACAAGCTCCGTGATCAGGGTCATAACTAGAAAACACAGGGCCCCATAGCAAAATTTTGTATGGGGCCCTGTGATTTCTAGTTACACCCCTTGCAGAGCCCACTTGAGATC